CCACCAGTGAGGTCAACATACTGTGTGAATATGTGGGAGAACGCCCTCTCGGTCATGCCATCCCAATTTTAGAATGTCCTTCCTTTGGAGATCTAATTGGCACCAGGGCTGATTTCATTTAGGTACCAAGTAAAACCATGGATGTCTATTAAAGCTTCTGAGCCTCACTGATTTATTGCAAATGCTATGCACAGGGTTTTTACATAGTCTTAATCTTTTTAATCCTCATCGACTTTGTTAATATGCTTTATATGTTTTAGTCAATTTATGTTATTTTTTTATTGTTTGAAATAGTTCTACCCTATTAATATTAAATGCCCTGAGATCTTTTGATATGGAGCTGGATAGAAACATTTAACTCAACTAACCAATCAATTGTTGTTGTTGTGTGCCTTCAATCGTTTCCGAATTATGGCGACCCTAAGGCAACCCTATCATGGATTTTTTTTTAGCAAGAGTTGTTCATAGAAGGCTTGCCACTGCCTTCCCCTGAGGCTGAGAGAGTGTGACTTGCCCAAGGTCACCCAGTGGCTTTCATGGCTCAGCTGGGAATCAAACCCTGGTCTCCAGAGTCATAGTCGAACACTCAAACCACTGCACCACACTGGGTCTCTAATCAGTTAATAAGCACTTTAAATTTTGGATTTTGTTTTAGGCCAGACATAGCTACTCCTGCATGAGTAGTCCTAAATAAGTAACTGCAGGGAAATTCATATGAGCATTCAGTATTTATCTCCAGATTTTCTTCAGGAAAGGACTGGGTTATAAATGTAACACATACATATATAATATCATGTCATATTTTTCCCTATTAACACAGAAAACAGCCCTGTTGTGTCAGCAATGAAGGTTGATTCTATATTACTGTGTTATTTGGGAATATCTGCCCCCCAGAGTAAGTGGATTTAGGATTGCAACCATTTACAAAATGGCAACAACAGTGACACGGTGACTGAGATTCTTTAAGGCAATTAGACATACATGTGATATCTTATGTTTCTAACACTTCATTTACATGAGGTTATCCTTTCTTCCTTTTCCAAATATTGGCAAAATCATGCTGTATCTGCTCTATTGTCACTTGGGAAACTACATTCTCTCCAACTTTCCTGGTTTGGCAAGGAAAGCCCTGATTAATTTGAGTAATTCCTCTGTTGTCCCACCTTCTAAGCTGCTTATAAAATGTTCCAGTTTCTCTCTTCGCCTCCCACTTTCTTCCTTTGTCTTTAGCTTTCTTCAATTGCTACAAACTGCACTCAAAGGGAAGAAGTAGTTCAAACTTTTCAGGAGAAGAGGAGAGGCAGGATTTTGCCCTTCTCTGCAGGCTCAGGCAAAAGCAAACTGCTGCAGCCTCCCCTGTGTGTTCTTCCTCATTAATAACTACTACCATCTTGACCACACTCTGATATAGCTTGGCAACATGTATCCTCATTGTCATCTGTGAACTGTTGGAGGGTATGCAAATCCAACCTTTTGTAGTCAGATCCATATGTACCAGCAGACATGACACTCTTCAGATATTTGAAGGATTAAGCCACCTAAAGACACTACAAAGGTGGATCCATGTATGAAGGCAAGAGATGTACCTGCTGAACATTTACTTTTTTGAAAACTACCTCTCCTGTATTTATAGATCTTTGTTGAATAACACAACCTGTACCTCTAGAACCTTATTCAATGATGGAATTTTAATCTATCAGTAAACTGCAATACTTTTAAAAAAAATTGTTCCTCTTTAAAGTACTGAGATCTTTGTGCAAGAGTAGTTATTCTTTAGCGAGTGGATCTCAAAATATATTATTCTAATTTGTTTTATTGTTTTTGATTTCATGATTCCAATTTTAAAAAATACAAACGAAACACACCATGGCAGCTAGACCTCAATATATGAAGACATAACTGAAAACATTAGAGGTGGAATTAGGATTTAATTAAATTCCTATAGTGAATTGTATATACAATCATACACACAATGTGAACTTTTGTAAATGTTTCATTTGAGTTTGTTCTGATAGACATCTACTGGAGTTCCAGAGCTTGGTAAAACTACTTTTTGGAGAATCAAACATTCAAAAATTTCACAGATGAAAACTGGGACATCATAGTGTGGCTGAGATGGCAAATGTTATAGGATTAATGAGGAAGAATGATGCACAAACTAAGAGAAGCTGCAACAGTTTGTTTTTGCCCGAGTCTTTCAGGAAGAGCAAGATTTTGCCCCCTCCTTTCCTTTCCTTTCCTTTCCTTTCCTTTCCTTTCCACTGAGTTGATGAAGTCCAAATTACTTTTGCATTTTGTACTCAGGTTGCACCAATGGAAGTAAGTCAAGGACAAAGGGTGGAAGTGAGAGGAGAGAGAAACCAGAACATTTAAAAAGCAGCTGGAAAAGTAGAATGACATAGGATAAATTGGGACTGTCTCTGCCCAGTTGGGACACTTGGAAGGTATCGAGTACAATTCCCACCATTGTGCCGTAAGCATGGCCACTGTTTTCTAAGCTCTGATTATTTCTCAGCCTGGTTTCCATTGGTGATGCTCAAACAAAAGCTAACAAGCAGGATATGGCATGGGTATTTTAAAAACAACAAATGATGGTTAAAGAAAGAATGCAGCAGAACACAGTTATGTTACATCAATCAAAAGGAATTAATATAGGTTAGCTCAGTATTCACGCAGTTGTAGAAACACAAAGATTATTAGCGTGCTTTGAAACATTTCAGTTCATCTACTTCATTATGATTCCTTCAGGAAACATTTCCAAATGAAACGGATTATTCATTTATACTTCATTTACTTAAAGCAACTTATGGATTGCGTGTTGGCAAACAAATAGTGCATTTTTAACAGCACTGAACTTAAAATACCATGTTCCAATATGACATTTGTGACTATTTGTACATGCAAGAGAGAATGAGAGAGAGGAAAAAAACACCCAGCACTGAATGTTCTTGTACTGGTTTCCCATTACTTTTGATCAAGAGCAAAGATAAAGAACACTGTGTTTAAAACATAACCAGACTTTCTTCTGATCAAGAACTGTTCTTTAAAGAAGAAAGAAGAACCAAAAATAAAATTAACCACTTCTTAGGCCAAGCTTCAAATGGAAAGACCAACTTCTGGTTTCTTTCACTAGATACTTTCAGGAGACCAGGCTGAAATGAATGAATGCATGAATGAATGTAGAAAATGCTTTTAACATGTAATAAAAATGAAATAATAGTTGTTTGTCAGCTCTGGAGACAAGCTTTGACATTTTCTTGGAATTCAAAGGACACAGAACACACGCACTCTATCTCTAGTCCCCCCCCCCAAAAAAAATAAAAACTCTTGACAGTCCAGAGATACATGTACTGAACTCCAGGTATACAGTTATGGGCTAATGCCTCCAGTGCAAGGCAAAGTTGAAGCAGCCACTCTTAAAAAGAGCAAACTCCAATGGGTACCGGTGGGGCTAAGCAGACGGCGCAAAGCGCCGTCTTCAGAGCAAGGAAGGGGAGGGGCAGCCACACACTGGCGCGCCCCAACCCTTTCTCCAAAATGTCCTCAGAGCAGCCGGCCCTCTGCACGGCCAGCGCTCCGAGGATGCCTTTCCGCTGCAGCGTCCGCACATGCTGCAGCGGAAAAGCCGCCGAAGGTGCGCCGGCAGCCTTTTGCGGCACATCTTTGGTGATTTGTGGAAGGAGCGCTATTTTAGCGCTCCTTCCAGGGGCGGCGAAGCTGCGCCACAGGGCTGAGGAATGGGGATGCCTCGGCCCCGATCCGCATCTTCCTGGGGCGGCCCCATGCCGCCCGTCTGCTTCCCCCCTGTGTCTTCACACTGTCAAACAATCAACACAGTCAATCAAAATTTTAAGTAGTTGGATTAAATAGGAGGCTACCCACTCCAGTCCTGACTACTATTCATTAGTCAACTATGTATTTATGAATCTTTACATTTCATATATAAAATATATACTGTGCATTGTATCCCATCCTGGCATACAATGATCAACCAATGAAAGACGTACTCTCAGATAACAACTGCAAATACAAAATTAAATACGAATTGACTATTGATCTTTATTTGGATTACAGCTCCCAGAACTCCCAGAAACTTCAGCTGAGCATTTAATAATACAGTTGAAGCATCCAAAGTAAAGGGGCAAAGTTAACAAGGGAAAGTGAACAGAGCAAAAAGAAGAGTTCTAGGTGTGAATGATTTGTGTTTCCTCTGCAATGCTAGAGATTTGGGGACTGAAGGAAAATTTCATTGGGAGTAGATATTTTATTTGGAGGGGTAATGCCCTCATTCTCTCCCTGCTCCTTGGTAGCTACTTCTCTGCATCTCAGGCAACAGATGGGTTACAGTCACACCGCAAAAAGAGCATTCTTATCTTTCACTGTGTTGCATTTATAATGAAATTTAGTTATATGTTAGCATAGGGTTTTGCAATCCAGGGTTCTGCACGAGGTCATGATTTGGGGATAAATCTTTAGAAAAGGAAAAAGAAAAAGAAAGAAAAAGAGATAATGATTTTAATGTAGGAGTTCCTTGAGACCTGAAAAATATTTCAAGGGTTCCTCCAGGGTAAAAAAAAAAATAATGAGAAAAACTACCTTAGACACTGCAAAACAACAAATTTCACTTAACTCATTATTTGTAATTAGATTTGAGCTGGATACATTGAGAAAATTGACTGATCATAAGTAGTTGTATGGTACATAGTTACTTCAGAGCTTTCTCCGGAGCTCCCAAGCAGGTGGGCAGTAAGAGCACTTCCCCTTCTTTCTGCACAAGATTGCAGGGCTAATGGTCACAATTCGGATTCCCATGTTCAGACCACAAATAGAAATAATTGGTTACATATTTGTTACATTTTCATTAACACTGTGAAAGCAGGGACTTTCAATGGAAACACTGATAAACGTACGAAGTGTGCAAGCTCAGGACTGTCTACTCCACTTGGCGTTGGCTCTTCAGGGTCTCAGGGAGAACCCTTTCTCATCTACTACTTGAGTCTCTTAACAAGTGATGCTAGGGTCCAAACCTGGGACCTTTTGCATGCAGAGCAAATGCTCTGCCTCTGAGCTATGTCAAACCTTGTAACAAGCTATTTTTGAGGGGACTACAATTCTCAGAAGTGTGTTGTGTGTAGTGCATTGAATGTGGCATAGTTGTGTGAGACTTTAGATGAAGACTATAGTGATTAGGGTTCAAATCTCAACTCAGCTCTGGACCCTACCACTGGGTGGCCTTGGGCAGGTTACGTTCTCTGAGCCCTAAAGGAACACAATGGCAAACCTCCTCTGAATAAATATTGTCAATAAAACCCTATGAGACAGTTGCCAGAAGTAGGAGTTGACCTGAAGGCAGGTAACAACAACAACAACCCTCTGGAATGACACAGCCAGTGTAACTAATCCAAAAGTGTAACTTTTCCAAGCCCTGAATCCGTCCCCAAACATCAGTCACTATATAAAACAACTGAAACACCATGCATTAAAACATGAATGAAATACAACACAGTGTAGGAGTGAGGAATACATGCATTCCAATGCTTTTTTAGTGACCTCTCTAGACAACCCTTTTTGGGAAAAAGAGGAGTGATTTATCTCTCCTAAAAAACTCCAAAGCTGGTGATTCACTTTTAAATAAGGTTGCAGCTTCCACTGTCACCTTTTTCCATTGGGGGGCATTTTTGGTAGTCCATTAAGCCCCTGGGGTATACAAGGGCAGAAAACTGCCTCCTAGACTCGCTGAAGTTGCCCAGCTCTGACACAGTGTACTGAGAAGGGTCAGAAAAACAAACGTGATCTCTAATTGTTACTGAATTTGTTCCTCAGTTCTTACTGGACCTCGTAACCATATAAATATTACATCCTATTTTCAAAATGACATGTGTCCCATGCCAAAATAGGCCCCATTTTGCCAGCATATGTCTACAGGGTGTTTTGGGAATTAGCTTACATGGCTAAATGATATGGTGAACAGTGCCAGAAAGTAAGCAGATTATAAAGGTTTTTGTTCCAAGTAAATGCTCAGGCAGACCAATGTCATGACCTACATTGTTGTGAGCTGACAGAGGTTGACATTAAGGGTATTATTATGTGCCTTCAAGTAATTTCCGACTTATGGCAACCATAAGGTGAACCTGTCACAAGGTTTTCTTGGCAAGATTTGTTCAGAGGAGGTTTGCCTTTGCCTTCCTCTGTGGGTGAGAGAGTGTGACTTGTGGGTTTCCTAGTGGGTTTCCTCGGTCAAGTAGGGATTCCAATCCTGGTCCCCTGGAGTTTTAGTCCAACAGTCAAACCACTATACCATGCTGGCTCTCCATTAAGGATATACAGCATTATAAAAGTGCTATTGCAAGCAGAGGGGTGGCTGAAGAGAGGGCATATGGGAAGTGGCAAGGACAGTAACAGTGCCCACAGCAGTACCTGGCATTCTTAGACAGCTGCTGGGACTCAACAGCTCTGAGAGAGTCCAAGGGCACTGATTCATGTTTTGCCCTTCCCACCCATTTGTTCTCCATTCAGTGGAAGTGGCTGGGTGTGGAAAACCATAGACAATTTTAAATGTATGACACAGTGTCCCAAAACACCAGATTCAGCACTGGAAAATTAAAATGGCAGGTGGCTTCCTAAATCTAGCAATTATCACCAGTTAAGCAACACGAGCCAGAGGAATTAAAGTAGGACAGTATGCCAGGACAGAAAGTACCTGTTACTGACTGTCCTGGAGCCATGCCCTTTCCTCCTGCGTCTGGTGGGATCTGATAAAGCCACATAGAATCATAGATTTGAAAGGAACTAGACAAGCCATCTAACCCAGCCTCTTGCCATGCAGAAATACACAGCTAAAGCACTCCCAAAAGATAATCATCCGTCCTCTGTTTAAAGATCTCCAAGGAAGGAGAGTCCATCATCCTCTGATGCATTCCACTCCACTACTGAACAGCTCTTACAGGCAAAAAGTTCTTCCTAATGTTCAGGTAGACTTTCTTTTCTTGTAATTTGAACCCCTTGGTTCATGTTCCAGCCTCTGGAGTATGATCATAACCCCCCACATACTTCAACTTTGCTACTCAGACGCCATAATGGGATTTCCGGGGTCCCAAACACTCAGCCTTCAAATGTGTCCCCATGTCAGTAAAACTATCTCATTATGAACCAAAGCAGGCATAGTTGCAGCTTTACCTGGGATGAAATCCAGCATTGTTGAGTGCACTTCCACTCATAAAATGCTACTTTTCCCTCTTCTCCTTCCCATTCAGTTCCCAATCTAGCTGAGTGGTCCCCAACCATCCAGAGTGGATTTTGAAATAAGAGGGTAGGGGAACCAGCCTTTCTCCATTCTATTGATCCAAGAGGGTAATTGGAGGGACAAATTGAACACATTTCCCTGAAAAATAAATACATTTAGGCTTAACCTGTCTGTTACTCAAAAGTGGGAATGGTACTCATCACATTTAAGAAGTATATCTGTCTTGAAGATTATGTCCATGCTACCCTGCAGTAATGATGGCTGACACAATGCAATTTTGTCAGTTAGAGTACTGTATTTTATCACAGCAATGTTTTAGAGAAACAAAGATTAATCAATACAATTTTGTCAATTTGAATATTGCATTTTAAAACAGTGATGCTTTAAAGGAAAATTATTTTGGATGTTGCTCCCGTGGCAAGACTTTTTATGACAATTTCTTTTCACATTAAAATGATCTTCTCCAAAATAACATCCTCAAGATGTACTGGGTTGAAACACCCATCATCTCCAATTGTGGATGAGTATTTATAGGCATTGTAGTACAACACATCTGGAGAGCGCCAGGTTGAAGAAGGCTGCATTAAGGCACTGCACATGCTCTACAGATGATTGTATTTGTCTGCTTCTTACTTAGGTCATTATGGTCTTTGGCTAAAAGAATAACATGGATTGACTGAAGACAGCACTGGGCTAGGTGCCATATTCAAACCCTGCCTTAACTCTGAATTAACTGTGTGGTCCTGGTCAATTTATAATGTCACAACTTAAGTTCCATCATCTCTGTTGCCAAAGAAAATAATTTGAAATGCTCATCATGGACTATTGTGAAGATATGCAAGGGAAAAACTAGCAAATATTTAAGAGGTTTTAATGTCAAGTAAATCATAGTACACAGTAAAAAAAATGTAAATGTGTGCAAGTTATTCCCACTGACTGTAACAACATGAAAACAGATTTCAGATGTAATAAGAAAGTGAGAGGACCTTGTTGCATAAGAGGAGTGGCTTATATAGCCTAATATTGTACGGGACAACTCTTTTCTTCCACTATTGAACATTTGTTCAGGAGAAATCTTGTTGGGGGCTGCATGCCAGCAGAGGTAGGGCTAATACCAGTTCCAGAGCCCAAAGCAGATGAACCAATCTCCTTTCT